AAAGTATTTATTACTTTTCGAAGTATTCTCCGCGAAATTTGACACATTTTTACATACGATGGAACCAATCATTGAAGCAACCATTCCATTCGGAAGTTGGGGCCTCCAAAATGGCCTTTTTGTAGGCGTCCACAGCTTCTTCAGGTGATGAAAATCTCTGTCCATGCAATTTATTCTTTATTTTAGGGAAAGTATAGAAATCATTAGGACTTAGGTCGGGGCTGTACGGCGGATGGTCTAATAATTCTATGTTTTCTTGCTCTAAAAACTCTTTTGTTCTGTGTGCGATGTGAGAACTCGCATTGTCGTGATGGGGGTGATGCGGCGGTTGCAGTTCTCTTTACGGAGTTCAGAAACGACCTATGGAAAACAAATGCTAGCATACCATTCTCCATTAACCGTTCACCCTCAAGAGGAATAGTCGTAACATGGCCGGTTTTGGAGACAAACGTGGCCACCATTTTTTTTGCAACACTCTGTGAACGAACAATTTTTGTTGGCTTTAACTCATTTTCGAACACCCAAACTCGTGAGTGGTTTTTTGTTTCGGGTTCGTACGCGTATATACAGGATTCGTCAACTAATAAGATGTTGTATACAGCATTCCTGCGTGGAATCTTTCGAGAGTTCTGACGCACTAAGTAACGCGAGCCGCTTTTTGCTCTTCACAGAGCGAATGCGGTATCCATCGGGAAAACAACTTTTTTACACCTAATTGTTCATGCAAGATTATTTGTATTTGACTCATGCCAATGTCTAAAGTTGCCTGAATTTCGCGGTATGTCACATGTCGATCTTCCTCAATCAGCTTACGCACAGAATCAACGTTTTCTTGGGTAACTGCAGTTTTTGGACGACCTTGATGGGGATCATCACTGAGCTTGACACGTCCACGTTGAAATTCAGTAAACCAGCGATAAATTGTGGTTTTGGATGGGGCTTCATCACCAAATGCAGAAATCATCCGGTCAACACACTGTTTTTGTATTAAACCACTTGGAAAATCATAATAAATCATCGCTTTTGAATTTTCTCGAGTCAATTCCATTTTCTCAACGACTAAACAAGTTTGACATAACCTTGTGACAAGACCGAGAATCTTTTTTTAAATAAATAAATGATATTCGATTTTTAAAACTAAGGAGTTTTCAATTAAAAAGATTTTACAGTGGAAATATTCCATTCCCGATACTTTTAGTGCATCCTGTGTATACTCGTACAATCAATAAACTTTTAAACACACCTTTAATTGATTTATGATTTATATTAAGGTTAAAATAACGTTTACATCAATTGTAATAAAAAAAATGATTAATTTTATTTTGTTTTAAAAAGTACGTGCCTTACAAATATTTCTAGGCTTATAGAAAGTCGTAAGCCTGAAAAGTATGAAAACGGGTGCATTGATTTTTCTTTACCACTTTATTTTATTTTTGTCTAAAATGCTACTTATTACGAAATAATGTTCTTATATAGCACGCGGTCTATCCAATGGACGACATGTAATGTAGCGTACTCCGAGATAAACACGCTTTCTTATAAATAGCGCGCTATAACATAGCGTATTTAATAGCGCGCTAGAAATTTATAGTTTATAGTCTGTAGCGTGCTATTGACTAAAAATCACTTTCACCAACGCTGAACTTATGCGGACTATGATGATTTGTTTATCGATAAAAATATCCACATAGTCCTCGCCTTACATTGCTTACGCATGTAGACAGCGGCAACAGTGTATCTACACGTGTACAATTTGTTGGTATGCGTAAATGCCATGAACACAAACACAAATTCTGTAGTGTGCGTGTATAGTGATGCGATTCAATTTTGTATTTGTGGTTAAGTATACTATTACGATCTTGAGGTTCGTGACGATAAAAACTGCCGATTGAATTACCAAAATTAACACTTTAATTCACTTTACACTAATTAAACTTAAAACACTGATAATTAATCACACTGATTCACTTTATTCCGCTCCGAAGCTTCGCTTGTCTCGCCAAATTCAATACTTCCTCGATCGCATCTTGCAACGCCTTTAAATACACATTAGTACCGAATCATCCAGAACATTCAAGTAAATACGCGCGCCAATCGACAAGGCGTCGAAAGTTCGAGTGTCGGGCTTCTAGAAGCTTAGTTCTTCGTTTCAATACTAGATGGCGCTGTCGGTTGAAAGATTAGTGATGTCATTTTCTGGAAAGCTCTCCTCGCTCCGTTACCCGACACAGATGGCGCTAGTGCCAGGTACATGACGTCAACTTAGGCGCGCAACACTGCCCCCTCCTAAGACATGCTCGTCCCGAGCATTATCGGCCCCATAATAACGCTCCAGGCGATCCACATGAACGATCTTAGGAGTCCTTCTTGCGCCTTTCTGTAACGGCTCCGCAATGTCAAGGACTGTCGTATCCTTTGGTGCACCAACATTATACAATTTCGATGCTCCTCTACTACATGTCTGAGGTCCCCTCACAGCCGCACAACTTGTACATGTACGACACCAATCCTCGACATCGTCACGATAATGGACCCAGTAAAACTGTTCTCGGACCTTCAGTAGAGTTCGTTTAACTCTCAGATGGACTCTTGAACAACCATTATGGCACAGCTGTAGAACATTCGGCACTTTAGCTTTAGGGACAACCATTTGCAAACGACAGCTGTCTCCTCGACCATTGTCCCATTTACGGCACAGGACTCCATCCTGAATCAGTAAGCTGTCCCATTGGGCCCAATAGCTTTTCGTGGTTGAACTCATCGCTGAGACGTCGCTCCACTTAGGCTTGGTAGCACGGGCCTTCATCCATTCCAGAATCGGCTTGATGTCCGGATCTTCCTGCTGTGCATGTTGTAGGCTGTCCTTCCACTCGTTGCTGAGGTGGTCTGTCCTGAGCATCCTCACGGATACCACTTGCTTACTCTCTTGCCTAGTACAATGTTTGCAATCTTCAGGACAAGGTCTTCTTGACCATGCATCTGCGTTGCCATGAGATTTCCCGCTGCGATGTCTGATAGTAAAGTCGTGTCCCGGCTGCTGCTGGGCGGTGATGTTAGCCGCATTTTCCTTCTGAGATCGTCCACCTTCCCTTTCTAGGGTTTGCTTAGGGCAGCTGGATCGAAGATGGCCCCTTTCCCCACAGCCATAGCACCTAGGGCTGTATCCTTTATTGTGGTCGCGAACCGTAAATGCTGCAACCTCCCTAGCGTGAGGGGAGCGATGATCCTGCCACCAACAGGTGGTGTCGTTAGCTGCACTACCTTCTCGAGATCGATCAACTTACCTTTCTACGGTTCGCTTAGGGCAGCTGGATCGAAGATGGCCCCTTTCCACACAGCGATAGCAACTCGGGCTGTATCCTTTGTTGCGGTCGCGAACTGTAGCTGCTGCAACCTCGCTGAATTGATGGGAACGATGATCCTGCCGCACGGCTTCCACCTCCAGTGCATGGGCCAAGGCGTCCTTAAGCGTCTCGTGGTGCCCGAGCCACACAGCAACTCTGACTTCAAGGTCGCGGATGCCGTCAATGAATTTCTGCACCAGGTTCCCTTCAATGAGCGCAGGTTCAGACCGGTATGCTTTTCGCACAAGCTTCTCCACCTCTAGAGCCCACTGTTGCAGGTTTTCATTGATGCACTGCACGCGATCTTTAAGCTGCGCACGAAAGACGTGTTTCAGGTGAGCGCCGCCATATCTCGCCTCCAATTCCTCAAGGAGTTGCTCATAAGTCACTTCCTCACCAAGAGCTTCCAGAACTGTTAAGGCCTGGTCGCGCAGGCCTAGTGTGAGAGCAGTCATGGCTCGGCTTTTATTCCAGCCGTTCGCCTCCATGACGGCCTCGAACTGGATTTTGTAGGCCGACCAGGAAGAAGTCCCGTCGAACGGCGGCATTTTGAATCCACGTAGCGAAGGTGTTGTAGCTACTACGGGAGCGGTTGTTCCATCCCCAAGTTTGAGGTCGTCTAGCGTTTTATTCACGTCAGCCATTACGTTGTCAACCCGATTGTTTACTTGGTCGATTCGGTTTTCAGCTTCCAACAGGCGGTTGTCATGTTGAGCAACCTTATCCTTCACCTCCCGTATCTCTTTTCCGAAGGTAGCGTGAAGGTCCTTCATGAGGAGCAGCTGCTCTTCCTTATCGCGTTGTAGTTGCTCTTCTAAACGACGGGCCTGTTCCTCCTGCTGGCGGACCTGTTGCTACTGCCGGCGGGCCTGTTCCTCCTGTCCGCCCCGCAGCTGCTCTTCCAATCGGCGGGCCTGTTCCTCCTGTCCGCGTTGCAGCTGCTGCAGCATCACCATCAGAGCACCTAAGTCAGGTGCCACAGACGTAGGAGCTGCTGACGAGTCGGCTTTCATGGCCGGCGGCTGGCCCTCAGACATCTGCGGCGTTACACCACCAAATCGTCTCTGGTCCGTCTCCTGCTGACGTTGACTTCGGGTACGGACACCCTCCATTTCGTCTTTAGGTAAAATCGGCATGATTTTATCCCACTTCTGACACCAATTGTTACGAGCTTGAGGTTCGTGACGATAAAAACTGCCGATTGAATTACCAAAATTAACACTTTAATTCACTTTACACTAATTGAACTTAAAACACTAATAATTAATCACACTGATTCACTTTATTCCGCTCTGAAGCTTCGCTTGTCTCGCCAAATTCAATACTTCCTCGATCGCATCTTGCAGCGCCTTTAAATACACATTATCACCGAAACATCCAGAATATTCAAGTAAATACGCGCGCCAATCGACAAGGCGTCGAAAGTTCGAGTGTCGGGCTTCTAGAAGCTTAGTTCTTCGTTTCGATACTAGATAGCGCTGTCGGTTGAAAGATTAGTGACGTCATTTTCTGGAAAGCTCTCCTCGCTCCGTTACCCGACACAGATGGCGCTAGTGCCGGGTACATGACTTCAACTTAGGCGCGCAACAATACAGTAGTGTTATTGCTGGTGGTAGTGCTGATATTGACAGACTTTTTGTTAAGGAATTAACGCGCATGGCCTCTTCAGTTGGTTTAATCCTCAAAGCTGTAAACCTATCGGGTGAAACTGCTGAAAACATTTTGGAATCACTGTGTGAAAGTTTGCAAGAATTAAATATAAACATAGACCATATATTAGGATTTACAGCTGATACAACAAATGTAATGTTTGGCAGAAATAATAGCGTGGTTCCAAAGATTAACAGTCTTATTCATAAAAATCCACTAAAATGGCGTTATGATAGTAATTAGTTAAAATGCTCAATAGTACTATTAAACCTATAATAAAATTCTCTATTCATAAACGTTCAATAAACCTTTCATAGTTAAATTATATTTATGGAATACTTTAGTTTTATTAGGGTAACGTAGGGACGGATCATTACTTGGTCTTATGTCGAATTAATGGTCTTTTCAAGCGTTGGCGGCATCGGACATCTGTTTCTACCACTGCGTTACAGCGTATAAGATTAGAGAAGTTACAAGATGAAGATGTGAAAGAGAAGTATAAATTTAGACTGAGAGAAAATATTAGATGTTTGAATGAGTTGTGTATGAATGATTTAGACTTGAATACTGTGTGGGATAATATTAAGAAAGGTTTGGTGGATGCAACCACCGAAGTATGTGATGTAAGTAGGAGTACAAATGAAAGGAAAAGTAATACGTTGTGGTAGGATGATGAGGTACGGGTGGAAGTTGAATCAAAGAAAAAAGCATGGTTAGATTTACTAGCAACCAAAGCTGGTAATTCTGGTGGTATGAATGATGAGATTGAAAGAAAAAAGGCAGAATTTAGACGTCTAAATAAGAGAGTAAAAGAAGTAGTTCAAAGGAAAAAGAAAGAAAGAACGGATAAGAATGATAGGATATCTGATAATTTCCATGTTAATATAAAAATGTTCTGGAAACTCGTAAGAACTGATAGGGGAAATACAAAACAGCCTATAATTAATGCTATAAGAGACGAGAATGGATGTATTCTGAATGATGAAGTTTCGAAGTTAAACATATGGAAGGAATACTTTGAAAGCGTGTTTATGAGTGAAGAGTCGTCTGAATTAAATGAACTGGAAATTCCGAAAGAAGTGGAAAGGGGTATGGAGATAAGTGTAGATGAAATCATGAAAGCAATGTAAAGCATGAAAGCAGGTAAGGCAGCTGGATATGATAGAGTATCACTCGAGATGCTAAGGGCTGGAGAGGGAGTGGTGGCAGACCTGCTGTACACCTTGTTTAATGTTGGGAATTAAAACGGGTACCGGATGACTGGTGTAAAGCAGTTATAGTACCAATATATAAAGGAAAAGGGTCACAGCAGGACTGCAAAAACTACCGTGGTATCAGCTTGCTTAGTACTGTGGGTAAACTGTATGCTAAGGTGTTAATTGAAAGAGTTATAAAAGAAACTGATAGAAAAATTTGGGATGTGAAAGCGGGTTTTAGAAAAGGAATGGCGTGTACAGATCAAGTCTTTTCCATGCGCATGATTGCGGAGAAGTTTTTTGCCAAAAACCAGAAAGTTTTTTGTGCGTTCATGGACTTTGAAAAGGCTTATGATAGAGTGGACAGGAATGTGTTATGGCAAACACTGAACTCATATGGGTTCAGCGCTGGTTTGATACAGGCATTAAGTTCTCTTTATAGGGACTCTAGTGCTTGTGTCAGGATCAATGGGGTCTACTCGGACTGGTTTGGCATCCAAAAGTGCTGTGTAGCTTCCCAATGGCTGTTCAAACTATTTATGGACAGATGTTTGCAAACTTTGAAAGATGAAGAATGTGGGTTAAGAATGGGCGAGTTAACCGTCAAATGCCTTTTGTATGCCAATGATCAAGTCATATTTGCGTCATCGGCGGCTGAGTTGCAAATGATGGTTACATTAATGAACTGGGCATTAAAAGAAAGAAGAATCAAAGTGTACGCAAGTATGAAGAAAATGATGGTTTTTGAAAGAGAAGAAAGCAAAGCGGTATGTGAAATGAGAATAGAAGGAGAGTTAATTGAGCAAGTCGATAAGTTTGTGTATTTGGGATGTGTATTTAGCAGGGATGGTAGATATGATAAGGATATAGAACGACGAGTAAATGCAGGGAATAGAATGAGAATGAGAAATAAGAATGAGAATGAGGCACTACACTCTATTATGAAGAACCAGAATGTGTCATAAAAGGCACGTATGGTAATTCATAATGCTGTGTTAGTCCCTACTTTAATGTATTCTAGTGAAAGCTGGGTGTAGCAGAAGAAGCACGAAAGTAGAATAAATGCTGTAGAAATGCGGTCTTTAAGGAGTATGTTAGGGTTGAATCTGAATGACAGGGTGAGAAATTGCGTGATAAGAGATAAATGTGGTATGCAAGATGATGTTGTGACCAGGATTAAGAAAGGAATGCTTCGGTGGTTTGGTCATGTAGAAAGAATGAATGAGGAAAGAGTGACAAAGCAAATTTATATGGCAGAAGTGAATGGCAGAGTCGGAAAGGGACAGGGAACAGGGAAAAAAGTTTATCGACCAAATTGGCGATATTTTGAAAATGGGCCACGTTAGAAGTACCCTTAACCGACGAGCATGTATGCGTAGATATATGGATGTAAAGGAGGCGAAAGAGGTATGTCAGGATCGTGCCAAATGGAAGTCCGTAGTCTCTGCCTACCCCTCTGGGTGACAGGCGTGAGTGTTTATGTATTATGTATGTTATCTTTTGGTTTTGAATCATATATTGTTCTAATGGTCCTTTTCTATAAAAAAATATAATTTCAGTGTCAGTCGCGTGTCCCCATAGCAAAATACCATACGACATAATGCTATGGAAATAGCTAAAGTAAACTATTCTAGCTGTTTCAACACTGGTAAGAGTTCTAATTTTCTTACAGCATATGCTGTCAGTTTTCCATAATGACCAGTTTGTATAAAATTTTATTAAATATAATACACGAGACCTCTTACGTGTTTGTTCGGCCGAATATAATTGGCTGGAGGAAGATAAGGTTAGTATGTGACTAAAGTAATTTTCTCATAGGTGCTTAGTGTACAAATGTTAGTTAACTGTGTTGTTATAATAATATCCCTTTTCTTTCCATAGCATTTATTGATGGATTTGGTAAGGGAGCGTGTATTAGTAATTGAAAGTAAAAATACTGATACAAATACAAACTCAAATAAGCTAGCAGCATGGGCAGATTTATTATGCAGGTAATTTTTGTCTATCAATTTGTGAAGTGTTTGAAGAAGTCAGTTACATTATTATGCAACAGAAGCATGTCACTTCGTCTCCAGCTGGTCTAATGCATATAAGCTTTTAAAGTCACTCAACAATCTTCAGGAAGAGCTATGACAGGAGCCCCTATGTAATAGGATTCATTATGATGAAACTTACTGAATAAAATTGCTGATAGAGGTTCAGACTTAAGTTCAAAACTTAAGTAACAGGGAGCAGTCCACTTAGTTTATAGAACATAGCATTGGACGGGTTGATATACTATGACAAAGCGCAAAAATATCTCATGATCACTTGCATTGTGATTGGCCCATTTTGAATATTAAAATGTCAAACATTTGTATAAATTGTGATTATACTTTTTCCAGTTTCAACAGTATGTGCAAAGGTGGCACTCGCACCCTTCCCCAAATAAAATCCCAATGGAGCATCATTAAAATTACAAAAACGAAAATTAAGTCTGTTGAACTAAAGAATCTTCGCCAGACTGGTGGTGGTCCACCTCCAACAACGAACCCTGAATATGCAGATGACATCTGTTCATGGCTCTCTAACGAATTTGTAAACAAAATAAATCAGGTATTACTTAAGTCAAGATAAGGTCGCAAGTTTTATCTCTACCCAGTACAAACTTTAATTTTGTGTGGTAAATATTTTTGTTCCTTTTTTGCCTAAATAAAATACCTACTAAAGTTTACTTTATGATATAGTTATCAAGAAAAATCCATGCTAAAGTTCTTTATTATTTTAATTATTTATTGCATTGTTTGTAGATTGGGGAGCCATCGCAAAATGAAATCAAAGTGGATGATATAAATAAACTTGTCAATGTTGAAAACAAGTCTTCAGACATTGTGAGCATCAGTAAAGCATTGAGATAGCTAGCAATTTTTATATTTTTCATACCTCATTTTAATATTATATTTTACTGTTGTACATACTTGAGGTGTAAATACTTAGGAGATCCAAAGTACACGAGAGGTAAATATGTGAAATGTCTTACTTAGTTAGTTAGTTTACGACGGGCTGTTTTCCGCAACTCCACGTCTAAGCGCGTATTTTGCATGTGGGCAGGAATACTATGGTTATTCGAGCCATGATATCTTCCCGAAGAACCTCAGCAGTCCCTTGATGTTGCAAGCGAAAGCGATCCCGGCGTGCCGAGATGTTTAGCCCTGTATGAAGCGACTTCTGGACATGTCAGCAACACGTGAGCCGCCGTTTCTTCCTCTCCCATGCATGCCCTGCACAGGGGGCTATCAGTAACACCTATGGTGAACAAATGTTTGTTAAAAGAGCCATGTCCTGTGATAGCACTTGTTACTATCCTGATCTGTGGCTTATTCAGTCTCATTAGAACCTTGTTTAGACAACTGTTTATTTCTGGCAGGGCCTCCCTAGCTTGTCTACAGTCTACTAAATTTTTCCAAAGTTGAGCATGTAAATTATTGAAGTATCTAAGTACCAGTGAACGAACGTAGCTAAAGGGGATTGGTATTATTAGTTCCGGTCCTGTAGTTGCCAGAGCTGATATCCTTTTGGCCAGTTCATCTGCTGCATCGTTGCCTCTAGATCCACTGTGTCGCTTGATCCATTGCAGAGTCACATTGTTGTGCTTACATACCTCATTCAATTGTTGATGGCATTCGTATATCAGTCCCGAGTTCGTCACATTGCAATTCAGAGCTTGTAGTACCGCCATACTGTCGGTCAGTATTCTGATGGAGAAGTCTTTCACCTTCCTAGCATCTATTGCTATAGCAGCTTGGATGATACCCATGCATTCAGCCTGGAAGACTGTGTTGTGGGTACCCAGCGGTGTGCATATGTGGATATTAAGGTCTTCAGAAAAAAGTACCAGACCCCACACCTTCATTTGTCTTAGAACTATCTGTGAAAACTTTGAGCTCTCTTTGACCCAATCCTGATCCAGATGGTCTGTTTCCTTCAATTGTATCCTGTACTTCTTATCGAATACAAATTGTTTTGGGATCCTATCATACTTGGCTTGTAAGATAGGAATTTTTGAGTAAATTCTATTAATTATATCTGTATGGGGGACTCTACTCTTACTTAAAAGATTTAGGGTCTTTAGTCTAATGGCAGCTAAAGTTGCTTGTTGTTGTATATGTAGATGAAGCGGTGTTAGCTCCAGCATAGCCTTCAAAGCTGCTGTTGGTGTAGTCCTTATGCAGCCCGTGGCAGCCATACAAGCCAATCTCTGGTAACGCTGAAGCTTTCGTATAGTGGTGGCTTCAGTGGTTTTGGTCCACCATACCAGAGAGCCATATGTGATCATGGGCCGAATTACAGTTTTGTACAGCCACAGTATAATTTTTGGCGTCAAACCCCATCGTTTGCCAATCATGTTTCTGCATTGCCAGAAAGTTAAACTAGCTTTGTTGATTTTGTTTTCTATGTGTTTATTCCAGTTAAGTTTACTGTCCAAGGTAAGACCCAGGTATTTTACCTCGGATGAAAGCAGGAGTTTTGTGCTGAAAAGACTTGGAAGATGATAGTTATTCAGCATTCGTTTTTGTGTGAACATTACTATAACCGTTTTGTTTGGATTAACGGTTAGGTCATATTCCCTGCACCATCTCTCCACAATACGGAGAGCCGCTTGGGTCAGGTCACACACAATGCTTGCTGTCTTTCAGAGACCAGTATTGTCAGATCATCTGCATAACCGACTGTGTAGAAATGGTTAGCTTTTAATTTGCTGATGAGTTCATTCCTCTCATTTGCTGATAAGTCCCTGCGGGCATCCTTTCATGATCTGAATTGTGTGAGATTCATCAGCAATTTTTATTGTTCGTGTACTGAGCATGTTTACTATCCAGTCAATCAGTGCCGGTTCAACATTATGTCTACTTAGGGTACCTTTTATGCTGGAGAGATTTGTTCTGTCAAAAGCACCTTCTATGTCTATTATGGAGCCTAGACATATTGCTTTGTTTTGGATGGCCTCTTCAATCTTTGTTATTACATGGTGAAGTGCCGATTTTGTTGATTTACCTAAGCTATAGGCATGTTGTTTTCGTGTAGCGGTAAGTTAATGAGTGCTGACACTCTCAACTCCCGTTCACACATCTTCTCCATCGTCTTTAGGAGAAAGGATGTGAGGCTAATGGGTCTGTAGGATTTAGGGTCTGTATAGTCGTTCTTACCTGGTTTGGGTATGAACGTGACTTTCAATTCCCTCCATCACCTAGGAACATATTGTTACGCATAGAAGTCGACGACACTAGCGCCATCTAGTATCGAACAGAAGAACTAAGCTTCTGGAAGCTGACTCTCGAACTTTCGGCGCTTTATCGATCGGTGCGCGTATTTACTTGAATGTTCTGGATGATTCGGTACTAATGTGTATTTATAGGCGTTGCAAGGTGCGATCGTGGAAGTATTGGATTTGGCGAGACAAGCGAAGCTTCGGAGCGAGATAAAGTGAATCAGTGTGATTAATTATTGGTGTTTTTAAGATTAATTAGTGTAAAGTGAATTAAAGTGTTAATTTAGGTAATTCTATCGGCAATTTTTATTGTCACGAACCTCAAGCTCGTAACAATATTTAAGAGCCAAACATTGTGGCAACAAGTCTGACTGTTAGGACTTTACCCCCCACTGCAGAAGTGCCCTGAATAAGTCGTCAGGTCCTGCTGCCTTATGGGGTTGGAAACTATGAATTGCCCAATGGATTTTGTCCATCGTCACCACTCTTTGTGCTAAGTCCCAGTCTTCTTTTGTTGGTGTTCTTTTATTGGTGTAATGCATCATCATGCCGGTTCACCCTTTCAACTACACAGCAACCTGGGAAGTGAGTATCAATTAGGATGCGTTGAGTTTCATCCGGCGATGTTGAGTAGCTTCCATCGGGTTTCTTTAAAGATATAGATCCTGACGTGTTCTGTTTAGCTAGGATTTTTCTTATTCGATTTGCTTGTTCACAGGTTTCTATGCTACCACAGAATTTGCGCCATCCTGTTGAGCGTCGATACATTAAATACTATCGATAGATACATTTTTTGTATTTAGACTTAGCTTTCTTATATAGTAGCCAGTCTTCATCCATTGAGGTATACATTGCCCTATTTAGGGCTTTTCTTACCTTCTTACGTTTCCTGTCTAGTTCTTTACCCCACCACGGTTGCATTTGCTCAGCATGTTTTGGTGGAGTGATTACTGGACATGATTCATGGTAGCTATCGATCATGGCTTTAGTGACAGCTGCTACCTGTTCTTCTAGGAGCGATTGATCTGCTATGGTATTAGTTCCCCCAACACCCGCGAGCGAAGACGTCAGCCTATTGAGGTATTTTGTTTTATCCGTCTTGCGGGGATTTTTCCATGGAAGTATAGCGGGGATGTCGACCTGTAGTTCGCAGCAGATCCATCTGTGGTCTGAGCATGAGGCCTTTTTCGACACATGCCATCCGGTTATTAGTTTAGCTGCTCCTTCTGTTGCAAGTGTGAGGTCGATTATTGTGCGACAGCGTTTATTTATAAAGGTTGGTTCAGAACCAGTGTTTAAAATGGTTAGGTTAGTGCTAAATAAATATTCAACTAAAACCTTACCTCATTTATTGGGTTTTTCCGTTCCCATAAGGGGGTGATGCGCATTGGAGTCCGTCCCGATCACAACCTCTAGTATGGCCCTCTCACAGAAATTCACCAGCCTAACGAGGTCGTGAGGGGGAGGGGTGTCTTCCTCAGGCATGTATAGCGAGGCGACGACTAACCTTCCCTCCTGTGTGTTTTGTAATGCTACGGCCTACATGTCTCTGGAACAGAAATCTGTTAATGGTTTTGCACACATATCTTTAGTAGTATAAATACACGCTCTAGGCTTGTCGTGCTCAGAGTTGTAGAATAACTTACCTTTTAGGTTGTTTAGGCCTTTAATTTTACCAGCCCCAACCCATGGCTCCTGGATTAGGGCTATGGCCGTCCTTTGTACCTCCAACCACTTGCGTAATTGAGCCGACGCTGTTTCACTATGGTGGAGGTTGGCCTGCACTAGGCTAGTTTTGGACGAAGGGCACGCCATCATCGATCGAGTTATCCCCGTCCCCGCCCAAAAATAAGCCTGCCAGCAGATCCCGGGTCCCATCGTCAGCCATCGAGTCGGAATTGGACGGCAAAATGCAGTCCTCTTCGTCACTCAGTGAGCTGCCGCTGAGCCCAATTTCCACTGGGAGCTTCGGCTCGGCTGTACAGGCCGTTTTTTCACTGAACTTGGCATCCAGTGATTTTGATGTACCGGTAACCATGGCCACGGTATCCATGACTTCCGGGTTCTTTTCTGCCTCTTTGCTAGGTGGAGAATCAACGAATTTTCCTCCGCGACCCTGGAATTTAACGTATACCGCCCCGCATACACATGCGAGACGGCGCCCGGCTTTCGTCAGGGTCGGGATATGATCCTCTGGCACCGAAAAAACGAGGAACCACCCGTCCGTCTGTTTGTCCGCTTTGAGTAGCAGCCAGACCTTGATGCTTACCCAGCGGTCCTGGTACGCAAGCACACGACCAATTTCGCGTGAGTCCTTCCTTGGGCATCAGGGATAAGGATACCACATTTGATTCTTTGTGGTATCTGTGAATGTTTCTTAATAGTCAGCGAGGTGTTGGATTTAAGATCGAGGGTATTAATATTCCCCTTCAACCAGTCCAGAGCCTTCTGGTCGTCGCACCACAGCTTTAGGAAACCCTCCGTGTAAACGGGTTTGCCTCTAAAAACCGGGCCCGACGCATCAGGGTCCTGGTTACTCCAGGCCTCGCTGATCATCTTCCTCTGTATAGCCACGAGGATATCATCAGTTACCTCCTTTGTTACATGACCTGAACGCGCACACGTTAAGGCCACACCCAAATCTGCTTT